GTTTTAATAAAAAATTAATTCACTACGAAATATATCATTGATAATCCTACTTGCATCTTCTTTATATAATTATTATGAACATTACCAATATTGCCTTAAGAATAATATCATTTAAAAACAAGATAGCAAAGGAGTGACCAATTATTTTCAGTTTTGTAGAAAAATCCAGTCTTTCGTTTATAAACTTGGATCAAAAGAGTTGTTTAATGTTTGTTCTTTAATTCTGTGATATTCTCCTGCTTTCACATCATCCAATACGTTTAGTTGCTCCTTTTACAGTATTACTTACATTATTAAGTTTTAACTTCAGTATAATGTGGCGTTATTATTGCTGTTTGCTCCCTGTTTTTAGACGCTAACACCATTGTATTTAGATCAACTAGTAGAACAATACCAATGCAAATTATCTTGGAGGACAATGGACAGTATCAATAGATGGCAGCAAGCTCCGTGGTGTCCAATTCATGTCTTTGATAAGTTTGTTGTCTTCTTTTGAGCCATCGGACCGTTGTCAAAACTGAATAACGAACGTAATTTCTCTATTTACTAATAGATGGAACGATAATCGATTCAGTATATTTGTTTTAAAAATGAAGTATACGAGTTTAATTATGCTTGACGAATATTTATTTACGATTTTCATCATTTTAGAGAATATAAACAATATTAATTTAAATTTGGCAGTCTACCCAAATGAATTTAAAAATTAAGAAAATTTTATGTTTAGCACACGAGCCATTTTAGTGAAGTTCTGTACAGTTCTAATAGATGTCGCGACAAAATTGCCTCCAATGAAACGTCCATAAGGATGATCTACTAGGATATCTAAATACAATGCTAACACTAAGAATATTGATTACTTAACTAAACAGTAACTTACACTACCATGCCGAAAACAAAAAAGCCATACGTGTGTCTGTAAATCGTTCACTGTATGATTAGATTAATCACCTAGGCCGCATATAAATAAAGAAAAATAAACTCATTTAATTAAACTATATAGTACAGTAGAGTACGATTCAACTTAGAAAAAGCCACGGGCGTCATCAACTAGTCATCGTCTGCCTCATTTTAAAATATTTCTCCGTTGCTCCAGATCGATATACCAGTGGCGTAGGCTCTTATTTAAATAAGAATTAAAGCAGTTTTCCAACAAAAAAACATTTATTGGATTAAAAAGTTAAATTTTAATGATTTAAACATTTGTATATTACCTAAATAACTAAACTAAAATAAAATTACATATATTTTTCGACTTTAGACTTGCAAAACATTCAGTGGGAAGTAAATAAAAATAGCAACACAATTTTGTAATTTAAGATTTTTATTACAATTAAAATAATAGTTATTTATGCAACTAGTGCAAAAAGTGAAACTACAGGAGTACATCCTAGTTCGTCCGTTAATAAACTATTATACTCTGTTTTTTAACTAAGAGGAGCGATTTGAATTTAAGTTGGCAATTCTGTAGCCTTCTGATTGGTCAGATTACAGTCAGTTTCACACATTACTTTTTAGCATGAACCAGCTAATAATTGATATTGTTGACAGTTCTGACATTTTATAATTTGATATCTCATCCATTACTGTTTTTTACTTTATTTAATAAATAAATAAATAAATAAATAATAGTTCTTCAGTTGAAAATCTACAATTATGGATCCTTCTACACTGAGTACTATTAAAGGTAGCAATTCCTGAAAAGCCTTACAAGAAAGGGAAGACACCTTATTATTTTACATGAGGATTCTGAAGGTTTTGTAGAAAATGCATTATTAGTTTTTGAAGGTAAAAAGATGGGAGATTACCATGAAGAGATGAATTCCGAAGTACTTTAGAAAAAAATAATTTTATTACTGATTTTTTAAAACTAAAAATTGATGAATTTCTAACCAAAATGATTAAAATGTAACTAAATATTCAAGCAAATTTTATTTATTAGAATAGATTAAAACTATTTACAAAATTTACAAAACATTTAAAACACCATCTACTACTTTAGGGATAATCTTAATTTGTCACAATGAGTTAACATTATTTTCACAAAAAATATTTTAAAAATACTTAAAATTAATACATAGGTATGTATGAATAGTTCACTTTAAAAAATATATGTTGACATGTAGTGTTATGAAAATGTTGGTTCCAGTTTTCAAAACAAATTCTGACTCATAGGCCTGTAAACTTTTGAATGCCTTTATTTGCCCTCTAGTGCATTAACCATGGGTTAACACTAAATAAACCATAATATGCACATTACTCATAGAAGAGATACTAGTTACTATGTGATCCACTTGTCATTCACTGATTAACTTTTACTTTTTATACCTATAACAAATATATCCTTAAAAATGTAAACAGATCTTTATATTTTATATTAACCTGGCTACATCTGGATATTCCATTAACAATTTTCTTAAATATTTAATATCCATTTTAAAAAGATCATAGTTATTCTCAAAAAGTCGATTTCAAAAGCAAGAAAAAAGTATTTCTGACATCAATCAACAACCATATTGACTTTAATTTGACAGTGACATTTCGTTTTAGACACACATTTCAGATCGCAATGTGAAATTTGCGACCGTTGTCTGGGACCAATTAAAAAATTACTTCTATGACATTTATTCGTTTTTTAACCGCTCATTGGCCGTTCACCGACTAAAGCCGATAAATATAATTATTTCATAAATTTTGAACACGACTATATTTCGAAACTCGCTCTTAGTAACAAATCTAGTTACGTTTCCCTGCGTAAATGCGTCTTTTCAATTCGCTTCTCCTAGTTTAAAAACAGAGTATAGTACTCTCTCGCTGTCTTCACTTTCTTCCGATGTTTATGCGATAGCTTCTGTTCGAATTATATTCTGGACTATACGGCAGTCGTACAGCGTTGTCAAATTATTAAGCAATTGTATCTCTATATTAGAAAAACGAAAAAAATCGCCAAAACGCCACTGACGCTTAAATGGGATGGACCTGAGAGAGGGGCAAATTATTGCGGCCTTTGTCAGGTATGACGTGTGTGGCTTTTTCTTAGTTGAATCGTACTCTATACTCTGTTTTTAAACTAAGAGGAGCGATTTGAATTTAAGTTGGCAATTCTGTTGCTTTCTGATTGGTCAGATTACAGTCAGTTTCACACATTACTTTTTAGCATGAACATCAGCTAATAATTGATATTGTTGACAGTTCTGACATTTTATAATTTGATATCTCATCCATTACTTAGTTTTTTACTTTATTTCGTAAATAATAGTTCTTCAGTAAGCAATGGGGGGTAGCCGGGACCAATTCCCGGGGCCCGGGCTGAAATGGGGGCCCGGCGCTGCTGTTAGGGGGGCCCGACAACAGGTTTTTTCATTCTGCATGAGAAATTCGACACAAGATGAGAGAGGGAAGTTAAGTTTATTAAAAATAAAATATAAACAGATGAAAAGTTTTAGCGTAGAGAAGTTCTTGGAATGAGGCCCCTTTTTATTGAAGGAGGGAGAAATAGTATTAGTATTTTGATGTAACCCTTTTTTTTTTTTAGAAGTAATTGAAGGAGCGAGAAATAGTATTTTGATGAGGATTGTTTAAAAAAAAATTGTATTTCAGTAAAAAGTGGAAGAACAGTATTTTTTTTATCACGGGGCCCGATCTAGAGAATTGTCCTGGGGCCCGGCCTGACTCTCGGCGGCCCTGCTGAGTACTATTAAACACATTATTTTACATGCTGATTCTGAAGGTTTTGTAGAAAATGCATTATTGGTTTTTTAAGGTAAAAAGATGGGAGATTACCATGAAGAGATGAATTCCGAAGTATTTTAGAAAAAAATAATTTTATTACTGATTTTTTATAACTAAAAATTGATGAATTTCTAACCAAAATGATTAAAATGTAACTAAATATTCAAGCAAATTGTATTTATTAGAATAGAATAAAACTATTTACAAAATTGTTATAAGATTTAAAACACCATCTACTACTTTAGGGACAATCTTAATTTGGCACAATGAGTTAACATTACTTTTACAAAAAATATTTTAAAAATACTTAAAATTAATACATAGGTATGTATGAATAGTTCACTTTAAAAAATATATGTTGACATGTAGTGCGTTATAAAAATGTTGGTTCCAGTTTTCAAAACAAATTCTGACTCATAGGCCTGTAAACTTTTGAATGCCTTTATTTGCCCTCTAGCGCATTAACCATGGGTTAACACATAATATCCACATTACTCATAGAAGAGATACCAGTTACTGTGTGATCCACTTGTCATTCACTGATTAACTTTTACTTTTTGTACCTATAACAAATATATCCTTAAAAATGTAAACATATCTTTATATTTTATACTAACCTGGCTACATCTGGATATTCCATTAACAATTTTCTTAAATATTTAATATCCATTTTAAAAAGATCATAGTTATTCTCAAAAAGTCGATTTCAAAAGCAAGAAAAAAGTATTTCTGGCATCAATCAACAACCATATATTGACTTTAATTTGACAATGACATTTCGTTTTAGACACACATTTCAGATCACAATAATGTGAAATTTGCGACCGTTGTCTGGGACCAATTAAAAAATTACTTCTATGAGATTTATTCGTTTCTTAACCGCTCATTGGCCGTTCACCGACTAAGGCCGATAAAGATAATTATTTCATAAATTTTGAACACGACTATATTTCTAAACTCGCTCTTAGTAACAAATCTAGTTACTTTTCCCTGTGTAAATGTGTCTTTTCAATTCGCTCCTCCTAGTTTAAAAACAGAGTATAGTTATTGTTACATCTAAAACAAAAATAGTAATTGTAACAAAACATATATGATGTTTCAAAAGATAGGCAACACATCTTACGGTATTCATATTTTATAATATCTTCGACAGATAAGGGTAAAGAATACCTTAGTCGCATTTAAGCGAATTTCAATTAGTTTACGTATAAACCATAGTAAACCAATGAATTTGTGTCGCTTAGTTCACAATAATAAAACACCTGTACATGCTAAAGTTCACTGACATAAGTACGAGTACAAAACAAAATTTTTACTTTGTTAAAATAAGTAAATTTAAACTATTCTTAAGTATTTAAATTTTTTCTTGCAGGTAACATTCTCTTTTTCTGTTTGGGAGCAACTATCACATGGATATCACCAGTAAATACAAAAATCGAAAATACAAAAATCGAAAATGGTACCGTTTTCTTTGACGAGGTTTTACCAAAAGATTTCATATCATCGATAAACACTCTTTCCACTGTAGGAGCAGCAATTAGCGCCTATTTCTACACCCATATTGCAGACAAATTCGGAAGAAAAATTACGATATTATCCATAGGAGTGCCATATCTGATGTCTTACCTAATTATGGGTATATGGAGAACTGTTAAAACATATTTTGTCGCTAGATTTGTCCTAGGAGTAGCTATGGGTGGAACGTTTTCAGTTATACCAATCTATGCAGGGGAAATTTCTTGCAAGTACAATAGGGCGACTTTAAACTCTATCGGAGGAGTAATGTTAGCCGCTGGAGGTCTATTTTCCTACGTAATTGGATCCTTGTTGTCATTGGATCATTATAATTTAACCCTAGCCTTCTTCCCTGCGATATTCTTTCCATTATTTTTTATCTTCGGTGTAGAAACTGCTCATTTTTATATGTACAAGAACCAAGAAGATTTAGCAAGACAAGCATTCGTTAAATTAAGAATTCCGAATGAAGAAATCGAACGCGAACTTGAACACGTAGTCAATATAATAAAGGCGCAATCGCAAACGACGATGTTCAATTTTATTCGGAATAAAGTGTTTATTAAAGTTTTCACTTCTGTAATCGGTTTGTTAATGTTTCAACAATTGACAGGTATCAATGCGATTATAATGTTTAATGAAACGATCTATGAATTAACTGAATCTAATTTCGACTCTTCAGTTTGTTGCGTAATTATTGGAATCGTTCAATTTTTTAGCAGTTTATTGGTGTTGACGTATGAAGAAAGATTCGGAAGAAAGACTTTACTTATTACATCGGCTTTAACTATGTCGATATTGCTTACGATTTTGGGTATACATTGCGTATTCCTCGATTACGGAATAATTAATATTTATTTAAAATTACTTCCTCTGATAGTATTAAGTTTATTTGTAATTAGTTATTTTATCGGTATTGGACCGATTCCGTTTGTAATTTTATCGGAAATATTCCCATGGAGAGTCAAATCTATTGCTGTATCGGTTGTGTCTACTATTTATTGGATTACGGTTTTTTTAATAGTGACATATTTTCATTCTTTCGCTACTACCGTAGGACCTGATTCATGCTTTCTAAGTTTGGCAGCTTTATGTATAATTTGTGCAGTATTTGTTTATTTCTATGTAGAGGAAACAAAAGGGAAAACTTTCGAAGAAATTCAGGAGATATTCAAGTAATATTTAAATTATTTTTGTTTCTTTTTTATAAATAAGCCGACGCCACTCTATCAGATGCAAAAATTTATTGATTACACATAGAGGGGTAATTACTATGCATTTAACCGTAAATTATACGCAATGAAGAAGTTGTTTTTTATAGGGTTGGTAATATTAAAATAATTTGTTGGTTATGGATTAATTGGAATAATGCGGATACTTTTTATGTCAAGTCAACGTTCTGTAAACGTAGGCACAAAAAAAAATATTAAATTTGTTTTAACGTTGGAACTCTTTAGGGCCGATTCCACCGTTGTGTTAAACGAAGTTTAAATTACTAAACGAAGATTTTTTTTGTGAAAAAACAATCCAAAAGGGACGTCAGGTTCGTGTTGTCAAGATCAAGAAGCTGGATCGCCTCAACGTTCATATGTTGGTGGAGCCGTTGTTCGTGACAGTCTGGTCAACAATGTCCATCTAAAGGTCTCGATGAAGGTCGCTGTTTTTAATGTTACAAGAAGCATCGACAATGTTCCTTAATACTTTGTTCTGGAACCTCTGGATTATTAGAATATTTCTGTAGCTGGCACAACCCCAGAGCCGAATGTCATAGGTCCAAATTGATTTGAGATCTTGTTTATATAATAGAATTTTGTTATATGTAGATAGGCTGGAATGCCTACCAAATAACCAGTACATTTTCTTGAATTTTATATCTAACTCTTGTCTTTTCATTTTAACATGGATCTTCCAGCGAAGTCTATATATTTTGCCGAGTTAGCATAAGGGACCTGAGCATTATTTATGGTAATTGATATTTTTTGACCATATTTGTTAGTAAAATTAATATTACCAGACTTAGTTTCGTTTAGTTTATTACGCAATCTTTTGGTCCAATTATTTATTTGATTAACTGATGTTTGTAATTTATTTGCAGCCTCTTCATGATCTTTGCCTATCGCTAGGATGACAGTATCCTCTGCAAATGTATCTTTTGTGTCTTGTTCTAGTTGCGGTATGTCACAAGTGTATATCAGATACGAAGTGGGTCCCAGGACGCTTCCCTGTGGTACTCCTGCTTTAATTTATTTCAATTCAGAGTATGCTTCATCATGTTTTACTTTAAAGAATCTATATGAAATGTATGAATCCAATAGCTCTGAGTATGGCTGTGACAGTAGCACATTCAGTTTATGTTTTAAGCCATCATGCCCATAGATATATAACCAAGACAGATAGGATTATTTACAAAATTTTTGAAGAATGAACGGTGGTGTCCGCTGTAGAAACTCAATAATCGGATTGAACATTGATGCCAAGTTTACGTGCCATTAACTATAGATATATACAACCAATACAGATTACACAATTTCTGAAGTCAACGCGGATGATCCTCGACAGAAATGCAATATTTGGATAAAATTAAAATATTGATGCCAAGTTTGCGATGTTTTTAACTGTAGTAATGTTATTGCGTTTGCTTGAATTACTGTTAGGTCTTTAAATTGTCAAAAAAAAAATAATGTCTGACAACAGCGGAAGTAGAGTAGACCGCAATTGTGGAGGGTCGTATATTGTTTCATTCATAAAAATTCCTTCGATACAGTATTAGTCCAGGAGCCAGTGAATTTTTTCGTACTTGTTTTCCCGGTCCGTGTATATTTAAATAATCTATTCCCGGTGAACTGTATATTTAAAATGGAACGCCAATCTATTAACAAAAGTAAGCCAGATTGAATTCGCGCATTACGTCACATCGATACAAGTGAGATTGTTTACAAAGTGCCTTTGCAGGCCTATTTTGCCCATTTCATGTATTTGTTTTTAAATCATGTTAAATTACTATTTTTGAAACTCAACAAGGAGAAAATCCAATTAACTCTTCCGTTGTGTATATATATATATATATATATATATATATATATATATATATATATATATAAGATAAATTAACTGAAGTTTTATTAGTAAAGTATTAATACTAAAATTTTAATGTAATTTACAGAAAGTAGCTAGGTATGTATTTGTTTTTAAATAATTTGATAATTTATAAAAAAAGGGAGTAAAAGTGGAATGACCAGTGGCCAATAGGTCAGTCAATACAAAGTATCATATATTTCTATTATAACATAACTAAAATACCTACATCTTTTAATCATAAGGACATGAGTTAAAAACCATTTTAATATATGCATTAGAATGAAGTAATAACAACTTAAAGAGACGAGGTCTTAAAGTAATAGCTGGTACAGCATGTTTTTTAAACGTTTCCTCATTGCTGCTAGAATGAAATCACTTACTATGAAATGTGCTCTAAAAACGGCATTTATAGCAGTCAGTGTTCAGTCTTAGGAACTCTTCCTAAAGCCCTCATCCAAGCTGCATACATATTAAAAAATAATTTAAAAAAAAACATTATAAACCTATATAGTTTTCGGTTGCCCTAAAAGAGGACACTTAGCCGACAATTTGGCTCAGATAGCTAAAACCCAAAAGTCACACCCCGAACCAGGACGTATTGCTATCCTTTTAAGTAAAAAATAACTACAAATAACTTACCTGAAAAATGAAGGCGTCTAACTTTACACCAAAAAAACCATACACTTTTTCCCATTGTTGCAAGCACCCGATGACGATTAGGTAGATATCAACTAGAAGCATGTACTTAATGGTTATAAAGCTTATTTTAACACAAAAAGAATAAAGCACTAGTCGAAAAGCAGCAATCAAATATAAATAGACCATAATATTAAAATTCAAATTAAAAACTATATAAAAGACAAATACTCTAAAAGCGCAAAAGATCAGAACCAAATAAAATGAATAACCATAACAACCTAAAAATCACACTAAAATTGCAAAAACTATTACTGTAAAATCATGAGATTACATCAATAATGCATATGCGTCGGAGTATCGCAAATGTCAAAAGTACAGTGTTTCCATGAAAATTTAGCTATGTTTTTAGCATTATTATCGGACCATTTCTACCACGCGCATCCAACGATATTGGCGTTCCACAGTTCACTGTATTTTCCTCACACCTCTAGTATAAATGATTTGACATAACGAAACTAACAATAATTATAATTAATGTAGAGTAATAAGTGATTCGTGAATTCTAAATAAAACAATTATTATATAAAAGTGTAAAAGGAAATGTAATTTATTTCCCTATTTTCTTCCGTAATATCTTCAATTATTATGTTTAATTTCTATAAATAAACTAACTGGTTAGGTGAAACATTGTGATATAAGATTTTATTTATGTGTCCTATGCGTACACTTTAATATACAAAACACCTGGAACATTCTTTAAATAATTGTGGTCGTAGAAATAATTGTGTACATAACTCGTTTGAAAGTGTATTTTATGCACTTGTTAAATATATTATCAATACAGATTAATCAGACTATTTTTTTACTTAACTTCAGTACATCTCTTACTACTAAAACTATTTTTATCAATGGAAAAATGGGCCGTATTCTCGTATGTTTTGACGCATTTTCGGCTTCAGCCCATCGGATCCCCCTTCTAAATATATATGAATTTTGCTTAGAATTGCTAATCCTACAATTCTCTATTCGTGCTTGCTGACTGGGAAAATAAATACCGAAAATCGTCACTGTCTCCTGGACTATACAATAGATGATGATGAGAACTTCACAACAAATAAACTTTTATGAATGGCTAGTTGGGGAATCATGCCATACTTTATCAAAAGCCTACCGAACATCGAGGAAGATGGCTGAACAGGCTTCTTTGTTTTCTAATGCTTTTTCAATCGCATTTGAGATTCTATGAACCTGATCTATCCCAGATAGCACAGGACGTCCCATGGACGTCCTGATTTGGTCCCTTGTTGGTCCGGTTGGTCCCGGACTTAAATAGGACGTCTACTGGACTTCCGATTACAGTGAACACTAGGACGTCCTTCGAAGGACGTCCTCTGGACGTCCCATTTTGGTCCCGTTTCGATAAAGCGTTTAGGTTTCGGTCCGAGTCCGGGACGTTAATGGGACGTCCAAGGGACGTCTATGGGACTTTTTGTATACTAGCATCGTTGGTCTTTGAATCGATAACTTGAAATTCAACGTTTTGTTTTTGCAAGAGTATGAGGACAGAAAACCTAACTTGTCATTTATTTTCAAATGAACAACAAGAGCAACAATTTTCGGCATTCAATAATTAACTTATATAAGTGAGTTAGATTAACGAAGAAAAAAGAAGGTTATATAGTGTTATTTGTTATTTTTTTGATGTTGGTTGTAAAGTGGTTATAAAGTGAAGTGAGTGTTTTGTGTTGAGGTGAGAATAAGTGATGTGTATTGGCGGTAGCCCCTGGCGGAAAGAAAATACCTTAATGGCGGAAAGTTGGAACAAAACTAATTTTGACAAAATTATAATACTCAGTTATGTCGACACAAGCTATAAGTAGGACCCAAGGTTTCATCTTACCAGCGCTGTGTGTTAAATTTAATTCATTCCTGTTTTTTTTGTAAACTGAAAACGTTTAACTTTAGCTAGTTTTTTCAGGATAAAAGTTGTTAAATAAAGCTCTTCTATTGTTAAAATTTTTGTTATTACCCTTTATGGATTATGATCAAATATCGTCTCTCGGACGTCTGATTTACGTCCCTAGGACGTCCCGCAAAGGTCCCGATGACGTCCTTTTGGGATGTCCCAGGGACGTCCCAAAGATGGACGGAAACGGGACATTAGGACGTCCATTGGACGTCCGATTGATGTCCCGGTACCAAAAGAGGACGTCCCTGAAGGACGTCTTTTAGACGTCCATAAGACGTCCGTGTGATATGTGGGATAGTTGAATGGTTTTCTCTAAAGCCGAACTGGCAATCTGGAATTAGTTTCGCTCTGCTCGTCTCGAAAATATTTACTCGTTACATAAAATAAGGCATTTCGTTACTAGTTTCATAAATAGCTATTTTTTAAATATTTGTTAATGAAGGCTCTAATGAATTTTGAAAATCGGACGTAAGCAAATGCAGTATTAATGTAG